CAGACACTATTATCACAGGGTGTCAAGTGGCTAACACTATTAGTACAGAATGTCAAGTGGCTAACAGTATAAGCACAGGGTGTCAAGTGGCTGACACTATTATCACAGGGTGTCAAGTGGCTGACACTATTATCACAGGGTGTCAAGTGGCTAACAGTATAAGCACAGGGTGTCAAGTGGCTGACACTATTATCACAGGGTGTCAAGTGGCTAACAGTATTAGCACGGGGTATCAAGTGGCTAACACTATTAGTACAGAATGTCAAGTGGCTAACACTATTAGCACAGGGTGTCAAGTGGCAGACACTATTATCACAGGGTGTCAAGTGGCTGACACTATTAGTACAGAATGTCAAGTGGCTAACAGTATAAGCACAGGGTGTCAAGTGGCTGACACTATTATCACAGGGTGTCAAGTGGCTAACACTGTTAGCACAGGGTTTCAAGTAGCTAACACTATTAGCACAGGGTGTCAAGTGGCTAACAATAGTACCACATGGTGTCAAGTGGCTAACAGTATTAGCACGGGGTATCAAGTAGCTAACACTATTAGTACAGAATGTCAAGTGGCTAACACTATTAGCACAGGGTGTCAAGTGGCTAACAGTGTTAGCACAGGGTGTCAAGTGGCTAACACTATTATCACAGGGTGTCAAGTGGCTGACACTATTATCACAGGGTGTCAAGTGGCTAACACTATTATCACAGGGTGTCAAGTAGCTAACAGTATTATCACAGGGTGTCAAGTGGCTAACGATATTAGCACAGGGTGTCAAGTGGCTAACACTGTTAGCACAGGGTTTCAAGTGGCTAACGCTATTAGCACAGGGTTTCAAGTGGCTAACGCTTTAAGAACAGGTTGTCAAGCGGTGAACACTATTAGCACAGCTAGAAACAAACTCTTGCATTAGTGGGTCATCTGGTATGTCAACCACAACTGCGTCAAACACAGTACGGAGATTAAGTCAAGGTGTGTGAGTTTGTTTCACCAAAATACCCCCAGTGACTTGGGTATAATCAGACTGAGATTTGGTGGAGATACTTTAGCATGGTCTCTGTGACCAGCATTTGAAAAAAAGAAAGATTAGTGAATGAAATATGTGTTGACAGTGTGACTCAATCATCGTCATCAACCAGGCTTCCTTGGCTTCTGGAACTAGCATGATACGTCAACAAGAAGGTGAACTAGACAGTGTTTCTTTGGAAAGGTTGATGTAGAGTCAGCAATCTTTTATTTAGTATTTTTTGCAATTTTGCAAAACTTCAATAGCAACCCACTACTTGTCTTGATCCCTAGTGTGTACATGTAATGTGTACATAAATCACAAAGATAAATGGAAACACTTGTTACCACATGAATAACATTTGTTGTGAAGATCACGCATACATTTGCTCAAGTTTTCACCTGTAGCTTGAGTGGAAAACAAGTCTTTTCCAGTTTTATAATCATCAGATTTGGGCTTGTCAGCCATTTTGAAAAGGATAATGCAACAATAAACAAGCAGCCTCTTGCCTGAGAAAGCCCCGCTGTTAGAAAACCAGATTTCAATAAAAGAACTGAAGATATCATTAGAATCAAAGAAAGCTTAGAAAGAACTCCTGTGTGCTGAGAATATTGAAGTCACATTAAAAATTAATTCAAAATTACTTGTACTTGAGATATTGATGGAATAGCTAGGTATTAGGTAACTGATATGAACAGATTTGAGTGTAAAACTAATAAGGCCTGCGTAATGTAATATCTATGTACCAAGTTTCATTGAAAAAAACTATGAGATATTATTAGAGAATTAATATGAACAAATTTCAACCCACAATTAATCGGGCCTGTCTATTGTCCTAAAGCATTTATGTACCAAATTTTATTCAAATGTGATGATCAGTAATTGAGATATCAGTGTTAATTATTTTAATTAGGTGATTAATAAGCATAAATATTTACCAAAAACTAAGTGGGTCTTTGCTTAGTCCTAGGTTCATTGAAATGTGATGAATACTCTTTAAAAGTTTCATTAAAATCCAATTAGTGGTTC